GTAGACTTCAAATACATATTTGTTAAATGAATTAATATTTTAACTTTTTCTTGGGGATCACATATATTTTCATCTAAAGACAATGGAATTTGCATTGCAGAGAATCACCAGTGTTTGCTAGAAAGTAGTGCCTTCCTTCAAAAAGGGAGCCAGTTACACAAAACCCCTCATGGGACACTCTTCAGGCCTCCTTCTCTCTGCAGAGCCGCGACTGCTGACTGAAGGGGACACAGATTTCCTCCACTGCAATCGTCACGTCACCTTCCAGAGTCTATTTTCCTAGTTTAGTCTCTCTAAATCCTGGTTTCTCATCATCTTCCCTGGTTTATCCTATTGTAATCCTAATGCTCTTTTGCCAGCCCACACTCATCATTATTTACTGCAAATTTGGTAGAAGCTAAACAAAGGAAAACATCACTAAGAGCATGAGACAAGAGCTGATAAGAATCTTCCTGCCTCCAAAAAGCCAGGAGAATTATACATAAATCTTAAGTGAAAAAGGCCGGAAAAGGGGATTTTACTAGTGAGACACAAATCATAAAACATAATTTTTTAGCTTTCTCTTTTCTTCCATGTGTTTTCCTGTTGACCCCAGCCTGGTTTCTATCCAGCTTGCTGCAAGCAGATCCACCACTGCGTGTTGAGAGTTCTTCCCCACCCCTGCCCCGACCCCTCACTCCACGTGCACTCAGGCCTATGTGAGGTCCAGGGCCAACATCAACAGAGACAGGGTTTCTAGAAAGAGACTTGACCACTGCCCAACTGTGGGGCAGCTCAAGACATGGCCCTCCCACAACCTCAGAAAGCAGGTGGCCGCCTGGCCAGCAGCCACAGGAGTGAGGAAAACAGTGAGTATCTGGAGTCCCAAGCCTTCTCAAGGCTCCTGAGTTTATCACAACCCTGTAGCATCTTCCCACACCACCGTGGCTCCCTCCCCATTGCTGGGCCCTCCCTCACCCGATAAACAGGGCCAAGGCCACACACAGGTGGGATGCGGTTTCTCGACCAATCCACAGCATGTCGGTGCATTCCCCTGCAAAGTAGGTAATAAACAGCATGTCCATATCTGCTGGTCCTCCAGGTGGTTTTTTCCAGAATATCACGAACAAAAGTGCAGCTCCCCAGCTTGGAGCTCCTGCATTACATAAAACTTTCCCTCTACTAACCCCTCCACTCCTTGAGGCTTAGAATAAACCTGAGCTCTGCTGGGTCAGCCACAACTGCTGGGGCCCTGGACTGAATCCTCAGAACACCTTTGCTCCTAACCAAACCTGACATTGAGAGCACTCGAGGGAGCTTGGGCACCCCACATCCCCACTGCCATTACCATACTGCAGAACGACCTTTACCTGCACCACAGCCAGGCAGATGGCTTCCATCCCCAGCTCCAAAGAGACTGCCTAGTTGGGCCATCTCTACGTCAGAGTCTGAACGCTACAAGGTTATCGAGGATATTCGATCCCCTGCCTCATTCTGGCCAACTGAGTCTGAGACCTGTCATCATGGACCTGGTCTGTTTTGGGGGTCCATGTCCCAAAACGATGGTTACCGACTACCTGGTTCCGGAGCACCTAGTCACATAACCATTTCCTTGACTGGATCTGCCTTAAACTGACTGTTTTGAAAATTATAATGTGATTACAGTTTATTGACAAAAGGGAACAGTGTTAGAGGGAATAATGTTAGAGACATAATAATGTTAAAAAGCCAGCATGGTATCATGTACCTTAAAGGGACACAATGCTACATGTCAATCATATCAATAAAACTGGGAAAAAACATATGGGAAACATTCAGAATAAAACGGTAACTTAATAAAGCACATCACAAAACCAATCTGCATTGACCTTAAACAAAAACTGAACTGGACTGAGAGGGTTTCCCAGCATAGTGAGACCCCCAGTTCCTCTCGGTGAGGCCGGCGTTCAGCAGGCCCCTCTCACCGCACTCACAGGCCCGTGTCATCTGAGTGGGTCCATGTCTGGTTTCCACATGTTCCCAGCTCCTCACAAGCTTCGGAGTGGCAAACACATGTACACCTTGCGCCCACCTCTCTGCTGACCCCTTTCCATTTCAGCGTGGACTGGCTTACACCTGCCTCAGTCTGCAAAGCGGGGTGTGCGGTGGGGAGGAGCAGCACAGATACACAGGTGACAGATCACAGACAGACACGCTGCAGCCGGTGAGGAGAAGCAGCAGACCCTGCGGGGCACCGGCTGGACTGCTGCCTTCAGGCCGCCACGCAGCGAGGGGGGGGCAGATTTCACCACAACACTTGTTTACCGTCTGGTCCCATTAGAGACACCTGAGCTGTGAGGGAACCCTTTAATGTGCTTATCACGCCAATAAACAGGGCTATTCAACAGGCACCACCCTCTCGGGCCTTGTTTCAAAGGAAAGAAAAACAGAAATTCCAAAGGAAACAAATGAATAATGATAAGCATTTCTGTTCTCCCTGTTGGCCAAACTATATAAATACACTCTGTTGTATCAAAACACTAGGCTCCTGATCCTTCTAAAATCTGAACTATTTGAGGATAAGGCCTGAGTAAACATGGTCTGCGCCTTATTTCAGTTCAGCTCAGCAAACTGCCAGATGGAGACAGAACACTGATTTCACAGCTCCTTTTACTCTGCTCTGTCTTCTCCCTGTTTTCAAATTCTGCTTTGCTGTTGGGTTCCCTCTGCTCCCAGGTTCACATTATCACCTGTTTCTGATTTTAAATTTGGGGCTGGGTCAACTCACCTGATTTTGCCTGGGCATTTGCCCAATCCATCCGCCCACACCACCTGAGCCCTCTGTTTTCACTGATGCTGCATAACATTCTGCCTACAAAAAGGCTACATTAAATATCACGCCCAGTTCCCTCGAGTACCTTATTCTCAAAGCACCTTGTACACCTCCTGTTTGTTTACCATGGAGACAGCAGTCTGGGAAATGGATGTTTACTATGGAGCGGGAAGCCTACAGGCTACAGTGACACTGAGGAGAAAACATAAGCACACACATACACGTCACACGGAGACATGGCATGCAGTGAGCGTCGGATGTGTGAAAATCTATAAAGCACAAGAAAAATCACAGATCCTTTCTTGAAAATGGTGTGAACACACAATTAGAGAAAGATAATAGCCCATCTACAGACATCGATAACAACCACACATCTAAGGTGACTGTGATTAACAACCTCAACTCCACTAATGTGGTCTGAAGAAGGGACTCCACAGTCTTGAGTGGGAAATAAAAACCTGGGGATTGAGCCTAACAATTTCCTTTGAGCCTGGAGGTTCTCAGACTCATTGTTACGACAAGTCACAGTTAAGTATATTCTGTGGTCCTTGAGTTCCACCCCTGGTCATTCTGGCTTGGGCTGGCAAGTCCCCACACTTTGAAAAGGGACACGTGGTCGTTGAGAACTTCACATCAGCTGCAGAAGAAGATTACCAGTGTAATCGCCAGTGCAGACTGTGGCACAGACAACACCGAGGCATGCCGATCTCAAATGTTGTAGTCTGCTCAGATCTGTTCTTGAGAAAAACACTTGTATTTTCACACAGGAAATTGGTACAAACTGCATGTTTTTACCAAGCACAACACTGCCTTATTGCACTGAGCTCTTCTTAGATTAGATATGTCGCTTACAGGTTATCAGGAAAAAAGCAGTTAGAAAATAACAAAGTTAAAAAGGGCCACCATTCCACAAGTCTGTACAAATATCCTACTCAAATGCAAAATATCTATGTCAATTCTGCTTCAGGGGCTCTAACTGCAGAAATTATAAAAGCACAAAACTGCTCTGTTACTTTAAGATGCAGGAATATTGGTGAGCATTCACGATTTTCCCTTACCGAAAATCTCATTGAATATAATAGGGAAGCCATCGAATACCATGTCTTTCCATTATAGCCAAGTGATTTTCACAGTAGGCAGTCTGCTAGTGCACCACAGGAGTCCACACTTGGAAATGAAATGGCACCGTGGAAAGAGTTCTACGTGCGAGCTCTTTTCAATCCAGAGCACTGCCTAGTTTCCTTCCTCTTGGCTGCACTGAGTGAGAAATCCATAAAGAGTGAGTGAGAAGAGGAAAAACACATGATGGGTTCTTTTTTCTTGTCTTTTTCAATAATATAATGGTGCTCTGCCAACTGCAGGAGCGCTGACTGTATATTACACTTTGAAAATAAATTTTAAAAAGATTTTTGCATTGTTAAAGCGGCAGACAAGCCATTTGCAGCAGGGGGAAATGATCAGTAAATGTAGGTGAATCCTGGCTTTTCTACACATCTGGTGAAATAATATGGTACAGGAGTCAGAAACACTTCTTCCCATCCTTCTCTTCAAATGAGTCTACTGTAAAACCTAGTTAGTGAGGACATTCTGCATATGGCATCCTATGTGCTCAATATTCTTTAAACAAGGCATTAATACAATCACAGTAACATCTACTAAGATTTTTAATTCCTTAAGTTTAGGAATCATGACTAACCTTTAGTGAGTCCAATTGAGTATTTAAAGTATTTAATTCTCCTGTTGGCAGGAATAACCAATAGAATATTCCTAGCCCAACAAGAGAGGCCTATGTAGGCTGTATCACTGAAGGCTCCAGAATGCAATGGGAGTCAGACTGGTTAATGGACCTGTATGTGCTCAGTAAAGAGTGGTTTCCAGAGTTACTAACAGCAGAAACTGAAAGCAAAGGTATCAATGGGGGAGCATGGAAACATGCTATTTTACTGCAGAATGAGCTCCCACTGATGATTACAAACAGCATGAAGAACAAGCCCACCGAGCATGATGCTAAGACACTGTAGTTCCATAGCAACCTATTCCCCAAAAAAACCACAGCTCTGAACACAAGGTCACTGCCAGCGGGATTTCTCTAGATGTGGAGCCACTGACGGCAAGAATCCATGAAAAAGAAAAGCCACCTTTTTCTCTCCGCTTTGTGAGAAATCTCTGGCTGACCATTACAAATTTGAGGCAGGGTAGTAATACTCACAAACTCCGGGGACCGGAAATCATGCTGACTTCCCAGGGTTCCAAAACTGGAGGCATTCATCTGGTCAAGATTTTCCAAGGCTAGAAATAAACAACAGACACATAAATACATATAGCATGAGGTTTCATCGGCTCACATACTTTTTTTGCTTTTAAATCAGTAGCACTGGCTTACCAACTATATTTAGCATTTGTAGCACACTTACAGGTTTACATTATTTAACACTTCCAGCTATCGGGGCACTCAGTCTGCAGCAGCTGCTGCATCTATTGGACAATGCCATGCTTGGAGGATGTTAGTTCTCAAGATGCTCTAGGCTAGATCCACCATGGAAAGTCTTTTGGCTTCTACATAAAAGGTCAGAGCAACTGTATGTTATACAACTGTAGCTAAAAAACATTTTAGTCTACTGATGTTCTCTTTCTACTACAACTCAGAGAACTGATGTGGTCATTCCGGGGTAGCAATTTTGTTTTAAACTCTGTTGAATAGCGCTATCTGGCAGAAATATCCTGGAAAACAAATTTTTCTATTAGATACATTAAGAAAATGAAAATTAATTTCAGTAACATGACCTATTGATAATATATGTTCATATTATCATTTGAATGTGTATTCAATATAAATATTACTAGTGAAACATTTTACCTTTTTTTGGTACTAAGTCTTAGAGATGTGTTATACTCACGACACATCTCAATTTGGACTAACCACACCTCCAAAGCTCAACAGCCATGTGTGACCAGCGGTTACCGTACTGAACAGCACAGTGCTGAAGGGATAAGGGAACCAAATCCAGAAGGTATACCACTATACAAGATATTATCCCAATCAACAAGTTCCTGACATGAACACAAGGTATAGTTCCAGATTAAAAGATATCGAGAGAACAAAGCCACCATTTGCAGTGTGGTTTTGCCGGTAGAAAGTCCAGGCCGTCACCACTGGCTATAAATCGGAGGTTCCCAGCACCCCCTCCTTGGGTTTTATTAATTTGCTAGAGCAGCTCACAGAAGTCAGAGCAACATTTGCTGACATTTACCAGTTTAGTATAAAGAGTGTGAAGGAGTTCAGAACAGGCCTCCCCAAGATGTGCGTGTGGACTACTTGAGCTAAAGGCCTTCCAGACCCAGTGGGCTCAGAGTAACTTTTCTCTCTTCCTTAAAAAATTTAAATTGGAAGCCTTGCCCATAATAAGCACTATCACCAAAAATAAATGTTTATGACCTATCTGTATGGCAGGGCAAATACCTAATCACTGAACATCTGCTCTCCTTATCATCCTGTGAATGACCGTCTTCCCCTCTGAAGTCCCAAACCCCTACCCCCATTCCTGGGCTCAACAGAGCCAGTCTTGTGGGACTGAGCCCTTAACCTGTGGAATCTGACTCTCTCGAACTGAGTGAACTGCTTGGTGGTGTGGGAAAAACACACACTGAAGTTATGTTCCTCAGAGCTCTTTAAATTTCTGTCTGCCCTTTTCACGTCACTGATTTAAGAGGCTGAGCCTGTTGATAAATATTTATTTAAACTTATTTAAATGTTTAATAAGGGCTACTTATGCTTAAAATATTTAAGAATATTTGTTGAAGTTTACCCAATTAAGAACATTTTCCTATGCAGTCAATATTACCTTGTTACACTTACACTCCATCTTACCTTTGCGTTTTTGAACCTCTCACATATGTGGGGCTCCAGTGTGCACAAAATTAAATTTGTTTTTCTCCTGTGAATCTGTTTCATATTGATTTTATTATTAGACTAACCAAAAAAAAAACCCTTTGTATGAAGGAGGAAAAGTTATTCCTCCCCAATGAGGCATCAAAAGGACCCAGATGAAGAGCCAGACAGAGGTACGTAGCATGATGTAAGTGGGAAGGGGCGCAGGGCCTCCACGGCCTTTGGAGGGCGCCATTCTCCCCACATCGCTACATGTTCACCCACCTGACACTCTCCAAACTCTGTCCTTCGGGGTTCTAGGGAGGCTTCACTACAGAAGAAGGTGATTGACTGATGGTCACTGGCCACTGGCGATGGATGTAATCTCAGCCCTCACGACACCCCTCCAGGTCAGGGGGCGGGACTGAAAGTTTCAACCCTCTAATCACCTAGAGGGTTCTTCTGCCAACCAGTCCCCAAATTTGGTTACTAAAGGGCTTTCCCAAAATCACCTCATTAACAAAACAAAGTGCACATTTATTGCTCTTCTATTTCTCATTATAAATCACAGTACCAAAGCAATCATTAACAGTATGTGGCACTCAACTGGATCTTACTTGAACGAACCTGGTGTGAAGAACATATTTATCAAAACCAGGAAGATTGAGCATGGCATAAGAATTAAATTATGCTAAGAAATTACTTTTTATTTTATGAAATATGGTCTTATTTTGCCTTTGTAGTGACTTCTTTTAATGTAAATTATATTTTTAACCCATTAAAGACTTTGTTAAAGAAAAAGCTGGGTTCCTATTGATCCAGAAAAATTCCCTACAGTGGCCCAAAAGGAAGCTGGACGTATATAGGACAGATTCACAAGAGAGTTCAACAAAACCTAAATGTCTGCCAACAATTCTGCTACTGAATGCTTAGATTTGGCACATCACTACGAAGCGTCACAGTATCTGGATTAGATTTTAGGTTCGCTCAAGAGTCTTGCCTGCTATACTCGTATCATGGACAACACAAACAAGTGATTCTAACTCCTCTGAAATACTGAGTTCGTCACGGAAGCCCAGCACGTGAACCAATGTAGAAACAGGAAGCCGGTCCCTGGAGCCAAGCCCTGCAGAGCGGCCACCAAAGCCAGAATTGAGGTGCCTGCCTCTGAGAACCCCAGGAGGGAGACAGCAATCAGTGCACAGTCTGTTACCCTGAGAGAACCACAATGTCACAGGCCGGTTGTTTCCAACACTGCAGCAACAGTTGTCCAAGATAATCACGTCCTTGCAGACCACCTTTGAAACTTGCTAACATGCGTTTACACTAGTGGCTATGAGGGCCTGTTTTAAATTGGTGTTTTGCAGCTCGGTCTACATCAGGAAGAAAATACCTAACCGTTTTATAGCACTTAAGATATTGAAAAATTATATCTGTGGTTTTTATGATACAGTGAGGTTTTCTGGCAGAACTGGTGAGTCAATGAAACAATACTACAATTCTGCTGATTTTTTTTTAAAGTGAGTACTGTAAATCTGATGGAGTGACTTGACTTTTGCATTTTACCTTGGTTTCATGTTATAATTAGATGCCCAATTTATCTTTTATGCATCTAGGGTCTATCGATAAAACAAAGCTGCCACTGCTTTATTTTATTATTTTTTAAATAAAAGGACAGCTTTAAAAAGTGTACATTTTGCCTAAAGACACCAGATCTATCACTCAGACAGTCTATCAAATTAAAGGCATATCCACTGCTTAAAAGGATTGGTGAGAGAAAATATAAAGCCATAGTGTTAGTTACTCTGCTGGTAATGGGAACTAATAGATTTACTGGTTAATGTCAACACAGAGGAGAAACTGTAAATTTGTGAATAAAAACAGAAACAGCTTAATTGAAACATCATCTAGGCAGAAAAAGGCTGCAGCTGTTGCTCTCATGACCTAATATAGAATGGAGAAGCACATGATTTATGATGCTAACGTGACCATCATACTTTCAACACTGAAGGGCTCCAGTTACTTTCAGATATTCTCATTTCTGGTAATCTAGCACAGCCAAAAGTTCATTTCTCAGCAAAAATAAAATAGTCAAACTCAAGGTGATACTTTGAGGGCTTTTTATTAAAAGAGAGACAGAATCAAGGGGAAAATTTTAAAGAAGGCAAACATGTTATCTCTTCACATAAATCATTTTTTAATGTACTATTTTAGAATATACTTTTAGAGCCCTGGCTGGTGTGGCTCAGATGGTTACTGCATCACCCCACACCCCGAGGTGGTTCAATCTCCAGTCGGGGCACATGCCCAGGCTGTGTGGGTTTGGTCCCCGGGTGGGGTGTGTATGGGAGGCAAACACATCGATGTTTCTCTCTTCCTCTCTCTCTAAAATCAATAAACATATTTTAAAATGTTTTAAATGTATTTTTAGTATTATCCCAATGCCTTGCCTTATACAACAGAGGTACCACCCTGAATGGCATCACAATTAGTTCATTTAATTTGGGCACTTGGAATATAAAAAAATATTTGGGACCTCTACGTTGCCTGGTCACCAAGAAGCTGACTAGAGAGCCGAAAACCGGCCGCTCCAACACCATGACAGAAGCTTTGGCAGCGACACGTCCCTGGGACTTTGCATGGACACACAACGAAAGCACAGTTCGCAGTCGGGGTTGACAAACACCCAATGCCTAGTGTATAACAGAAACAGCCTATTTAAAAAGTCCACTCTCTATAATTTTATAGCAAAGACAATTTATTATCTACCAGAAAACACAAAATGACCTTTCAAAATTCATGGGTAAACACCTAGGTGCCTGATAAGTAGTGCCCTGGCAATAACAGTGATCGGAATCGTACATCCACACGTCACCGACTGACACCTTTATCCTGGAGGCTGAAGGCCACTGGCAAGATCAGAGATGTGGTGAACACGTGAGGAACATATGTGGAAAATAGACCAGGGCATGGATTAAGGGGACCAGCTGGCTTCAAGTCCTGATTTTGCAATTTACCTGCATGATCCTAGGCAATAACTTATTCTCAGTTTATTTATCTGAAGCTGGTAATAAAATTACTCTCCTGGTTTATCTGACAGGGTTGTGTAAAGGATACAAATGACAATTCAAAAACATGTTATAAGAACACAAAACACTATATAAATATAAATTAATGTACACAGACCCAGAGATAGGAAAAAAAGTAATTTCCTTAGTTGTTCTTTGTGTCTAGCAGTTTCAAATGTCTGATTTTATCTAATCCTGTTTGCATCCTTGTTTTCACAAATGGTAAAAATTCAAGATTATTAGTTGCCTGAAGTCAACCACAAGAACTAACAATAGGAATTCGAATCTGTCCAATTCTAAATTTTTTGAATAAAATAATTTGTTTCTTGAGCTGCTATGGATAATTATAAGGG